CTAAGTGAGCTTAGAGCCCCATACGGCCACCTCCAGTCATGACCTTTAAATCAGACGATGAACCAACTATGTTAAGTCCAGGGGCACAGAGTTTAATTCTTATTTAGGGAAAAGTATGACATTGAACTCTTTAATGTGGTGTACTTAGTCGTCCTACAGAGTTTAATTCTTATTTAGGAAAAAATATAACCTTGAACTCTTTAATATGACGTATCGGTTCCACAAAGTTAAATTCTTATTTAGTGAAAAGTTTGATCTTAAACTCTTTAATATGACGTACCTAATCTTTATAAGAATTGTACTAGCAGTCTGCTTACCGACGATTATGTACTCTTTAATGTTTGTGTATAGCTTTGATTATTGTTAGAGAATTATATATTATAAAGAGAGAACTGTTGGAGTTGCCTTTGAATCATCTTTAATTTTCCCACATGATGTATATCTTTAATTTAATTTTATTAAACTTAATAATTTGGCAAAAAGATTAAGTTGGTCAAAAAAACCAAAAGAAAATGTTAATTATTTAAGGTACAACTTCTGGTTTCATTGTATATAACTTAGTTTTGAATATTGTTAGATCTAAATATGACTCGATTCGTCATTATAAATTTATAATTATTGGGAGAATCATAACTAAAACCAAATAGATGGTATTATAAATTCTCTTATTAATTATTAGGTTAATATAATCTTATTTGTATCAAATCTTATACTGTTTGATATAATTTTATTTGATTAGTTCATTGATGTATGATGGATCGGAGTTAATCAATTTAGGAGTAATTAATGAATATGAAATATCTTGACACTTGGTTTATCTACTCATGAAATAATTAGGAATGACAACGGATACAATATATAATTGTTAAGTTATTTTGAACTCAAAACTGAGTATATCAAGTATATCAAAAAGACTTGAATAATAGTTACCTGAATATCTGTATATCCGTCTCAAATCTTATTAACCACTACTCGAACCTGTCCTATTTAGGTTTAGGAGGATCAGGTACCCAGTATTACCCAACTTATTGTCATTTCTAAGAATAATACAAAATTTAATTGGTGCAAACAATTTTAGTGTAAATAATATTTTTCACTAGGTTGACATAGTGTGTGTATCCAAGAAACAATAATTGAAAGTTCCAATGTAAAATTATGCATATTGTGACTATCGAATATTATTGAATCAACGACTTAAAAGTTGTAAATATTGACTAAAATATATTAGTATTTAATCATTATTAGAGTTGAATTCTTTGTTGGTATACCGTATATGCCACAATTTACCTCCTCTGATCCACATTAAACCAAAGATTTAAAAATTGTAAATATGGACTCTTTTTTTAAAAAAATTTATATTGACTTAAATATAATAGAGTATTGACTATAATAAGTAAAAGTAAAGTCTCACAGCATGAGATCGAGTTACATGATATGATAGACATTCAATAATGCTATTCAGAGTTGAATTTCTTGTACATATGTATCACAATTTACCTCATTTGGTCCACAAGGTTTAAAGGCTGGGTAGCAAAATAAGACCTTCCAGAGCTAAACTTTGAAGTTCAACCTTTCATTTAGTAATACATACACTCTTTTTTTTTTTTTTTTGAAGTAATACATACACTCTAACTGATCAAAATTTTAAAAACTTTTACGCTTTTTTACCTCAAAAACTAATATTACTCATGTTTTATACCAGGAAAGACCTCAAAAAAGACCTGCGACATATCATCTACATACTACACCTCATAAGTTGCTTATTTATCTTTTTGAAGCTAAGTATATTTTGCTAGAAGATTATTAAGGTTTTCTTAGTATTATTAGAGCAAATCATCGATGACATCAAACATATTTTGTGGCTTTTCTTCCTTTTTTTATTGTGTTTGGCATGTAAAATAAGTAACAAAGAGAACATGCCCTAAAGCAAACTCTGCATCAAAAGCATTTAACTTAGTCACTACTACTATTTGCAAAAAAAGTGAGACAAATATAAAGAGAAAGCATTTGTTCCTTTTTCTATATAGGTTTTTTCTTTTTCGCCCCTTCATTTTCATTTCTTATCACTAAAGTTTAAAAATAAAATAAAAAAGGAAAAGAAAAAAGAAAGAAAGAGGCAAGAGCCAAGAGGTGATTTGATTCTTTTCTTTCCACCCCACTCCCTACATGTACCTCGTGGTGATGTGCTACTCTTTCTTGACTATAAACCAAACTTTTTCACCAATAAAATGCCGTACATTATTGTCACATCCATCGTACCACTAAAATAAGAGACAATATATCCGAAAGGTCGAAATAATTGAGTGAGTAAAATATGATTTTTGTATTAAAAAAATTACATTTACGATTCTTGTCACAGTGTTTAATAAAATTTACTCAGTGTTTAATAGCTACGAGTTTCTCTCATCATTCAAAATAAAAAGGAGGCAAGGAATAAAGTGTTTAAATAATTAATTAAGTTTATTATTTTTTAAAATTGACTAGTTAACTTTATAAAACTTTTACAATCTTAATCAACAATAGTACTAATGGTATGTAATACAATCATATTTGGTATACATAATTATATCTGATACGGTCAATACCATTGACACTATCATATTGCAGTTCCCAAATTGGTGACTCACCCTTCTTTCTAAGTTTTAGAATTCAATATTTATGTTGTGAGTTAATTTCATTTTTTGTCTTATTTTATAGCTGATAGTCCACCTTTAATTTTTCTTTTTCAAAATATTCTTATTTGATCAAGGTATTATTGTAGCATTATTAATTTTTTTTTTCCTTCGTCAACAAAATCGTTGAAATACAAAGACATTTTGATCCTTTTTTATACAAAGTTAGTTGACCCGCTATATTTTTATTTTTAATTTTTTGAAAAAAAAAAATCATATATAATTGAAATCTAAATGTCCTTGTATTTTATGAAATTTAACCGGTTTTGTTAATGGAATATATATAAAAAATGATCATGTTACAATAATATTAATACCAAAGAGGGATGTTATGAAAAAAAAAAAAATTAACTGTATTTTAAATTAATTGATAAGTTAAATTGTGTCTCGAAATTGAATTATTTATATATGATCCGTATAAAACGGAGTGCATCAGATCAAGTGGGCAAGAAATCATCGTCCAACCACGTACTACATGTGTTAATGTTGATTCTTGATTGCAACTTAATTATGCCATAATATTTTGGGTTTTGAATATTAAAAAATCATTAATTTTGCATAATTAACAGACAACACATTAATCGCAATCTTTTGTCGTATTTAATTTCAAAGCTTTCACACTCGATGCTGACCTGATCGCAAACAAATCACGCAGAAAACGCAGCATATATATATTAACACATATCAAATTAGCAAAAAATAAAAATTAAAAATCTACTAATCAAATAAGAACAAATAAAATCAAGCCTATAATATATAAGTTATTGACGACTAGTGCCATGAAGTGACTCTCTAAAGGAGAAGCCGTCATGGGTTCAAGCCCGATTGAGGGCGGTATTGACTCTATACATAATTGTATAGTATAATACATATAAATTCTTAACATAATACACATGAACTCTTAACGTAATACACATAAACTCTCAGGACGCACAATGCATTGTGCACGGCAATATAATTTGTCTGCTTCAATACTACACTCTTTGTGCTTCAATATGTTAAGAAAGTAATTATAAACATAATTTGTCTACTTCAATACTACTACACTCTTTGTGCTTCAATATGTTAAGAAAGTAATTATAAACAGATACTAGATTAACCCTGATATCAGATATTAAACTGATAAAAACATATACTACACTTGATTTTAGCCAATTCAAAAGGTATGAGTCTCACAATTTTGTACATAGCCCTTTTGTATGAAACTCACATGCAGGTGTCTCTCTTCATTTGTCACTTTGTCTAACATGAGACTGACAACCCAGAAAACTTTGTATTCATCAACTCCGATCCTTTTCTGTATAAGAAAGACATCATTGGACACAATACGAGGAGTTCAAAACTTCGTAGATGTATGTTATGTGGTCCGTTTAATTTGTAACAAGAGAAAACAACTTTCTATTTTTAATTAGATTTTGTGTAGTAACTTGAATATGGATGAGAGAATTATTCTTAGGGTGCAGTATGGCATCATACAAAATATTAGGTGAGCTAATATACAAGAGCGGGTTACTCAATGCATATTCCTAGATAATTACTATGGGGTTCTCTGGTCATAAAATGTTTGTTGAAAAAGAGATCAGAATAATTCTTTCCACCACAAAATATAATTATAAGTTGAAATTGTTTTTTTTTTTTTTTTTGTTGGCATTAGATATGTATATGTCCCTTATCTGTTGAATGGCAACATGTCATGTTACTATGATGAATGCACCCATCATTTTCCTATGTATACATTGGATGGCATTGCACTCATATTTCCTGCTCATCATCACTTTCTTATTGTCTTTAGTTATTATGATTGGATTTTGTTTTTCTCTTAATTGAACGCGTGGAACAATGGTAGAGTCCATTCTCCATATATATCATGTGAAATAGTTATACCATGAATTCAGGTGCAAAATACATAATTTACATACTGAATGTTCACAATTTTGTAAGCATTCAATATGTAAAATGTAAATTGAAAACATTCAGTATGTAAATTGTGTATTTTGGACACAAGTCCACCAGATAATTTGCCTATCATGAGATAACCATGCCAAGAGTACTTCAAATTTGATTCTTTGTAAAAACTGTCTATTAACATTTTCAGTTTGAACATATAATAAGCTAGCTAAGTTAATTTATCTCTCACTTTGGATTATTAGATTTCTTCACGAATCATTTGGATAAGATATCCGATATGAGTGTAAAGTGTCACTTAAATTTAAGGGAAGAACTCATCTCAAAAGACTAGTTAAATAAACGAGAGAGCCCATCGAGATTAAGTACCACACACATAATATCTTGATGTGAGATTGTACCGAGTGTAGGCAACATCCTACTAGAAACATACCAGCTGACTTGTATCATTCTTTAAAATATGATATTACAATATAAATACATAGTTCCAGGTCCTAATACTAACAACACTTACAGGTCCACCCTAGATGTTAGCTCAAACATCTTCATCAAAGAAAAGATGTGCTCTCAAAATTGTATAAGCATGATGCCAGTAAGAAGCTGTGAGTGAAATATGCAGACCAGAGGGTTCTGCTGTACTTACTCACCTATCCTTGTGCAGAACGTCGAAAATAATACCTGCATGAATATAACGCAACAAGAACTAGTCTGAAAACCATAAGAAGAAGGAAATTGAAAACCAACTGCCTATATAATATTTCGAGGTTTGTACTTTGTAGCGAATAATGTTTTGAAAACGCACCTAATAACATCGTTAATTGCATAAAGATACAGCATACATGCAAGAGAGAGAGAGAGAGAGAGACATACACAAAAATCTTTACACCAAACATGGAAGCATATTTCCGCAGAAGGCGCTCAATTGTGTACCATTCTGACCTGTCAGTCCCATCCTGATAGCCGATTCGTGGCATGTGGATTGATGCTTGAAACCACCAAATAGCAATGGCAAAACAGTAACAAAATTAAAACTAAAATCAAAATTCATCTATGTGCAACAAAGAGCTCAAACACAAGTGTTCCACAGGCAGCTAAAGGCATAGATGAGAAATCGAGAAATAACATAAACAGCAGAATAGTTCTATTGACAAACATCAAGGGAAGAGGTGGGGGTGGGTTCACACAATGAGACCTAGAAATCAAAGTTGTAGTTGCTAAATGAACCCACTGCACTGACATCATATTCATAAGAATATATATAAGATAAATAGCAACATCATGAGATAATAGAACCAAAAATACCAGACTTCTGAGCAGCCACATAAGATGCTTTCAACAGGCAATCTTCTAAGCTCGGGATAGATATATTACTCCTGGGGACTTTTCTCCTAGGATTGTATGATTGAACAACAGCCAAAGCAACCCATTGAGGAATATGAGGTGAGGTATTGTCATTACTGTCACCATTACAATCATCTGTACCGCAACAATAATATCCAATTAAAAGTTAAGAAACATTGCAACTCCCAGGAGACTGGAAATGAATAAAAATAAGGTTACTGACAAGAAATGAGCATATTCCGATAAAAATAAATAAATAATAATAATAAAGTTGAAATGAACAGGAGAAAATTTCCATTTTTTTAGTTAACTACTTTTACTATCTTAGGTTTGAACACTAGTTGAATTTAAAGGTTTCCTGTATCTTCATTCCTAATAGGATCTTCCTAGACAGCTCTCAACTTTAAGAGTCCAGGTAAAAAGCACCCTTCTATTTCTTCATCAATAGAGTATAATGCTGTAATCATTTACGTATGTAGCTTCTGCCAAGTGAACCTACATAAAAAAGATCACATTTAACAAACAAATGATAGATGGGGATGCAATTTGATTATCTCCATGCTTGTCATTCTGTCAGCATTGATCTCCGCTAGAGGTGATCATGTGGTTTCTCTTCAATAAACACTAACAAATATGTTGAAGTTCAGTCTCTAACTCAGCATACAACTTGCTCCCTCCCGACTTCCCCGGTCAAGATTTTGGAGTGATATTACAAACTGAAATAAAACCTTTTGGCATTGCTTAACCTGGGGAAGTGGGGAAACTTTCATCTCTACATTCTATACTTGGGTTAAAAGCACATTAACCTGAATAAATTTAATCAAAAGTATTTACCTCTAATTTCTATAAGATGGAGATCACCTATGTGCAGATCACCAAATTCAGATGCTCGTTCATATGCCATAGGGATGCTTGCTGAAAGCCTAGCAAGTGCATTAAACATTCCTCCATGGCCCCAGTTTCCTGAGTCATCAACACAGCTGCCAAAATAATGTTAGCCATTAGGAAATCACAATCTTGTGAAACACCTTCCTCTAATAAACTGGTGCAGCAAGAATAGGCGTTTTAGGTAAGTACTATCTTGGGGCCATGCGGCCCATGCCCATGCATACCTGAATATAACTGTAGGCTCTGATGGACACGCCTTTGAGGGAAGTGTGCAATCCCCATAAACAAAATGGACAGAACCAGAATCTGATTTAATATCCTTATCATCAGGGCACACTGGATCTTTCACAGACAATGAATGATAGCCTAGAGCTTCCCATTCAGACAGTTTTTTCTCCTCTGCCCTTTTCCTTGCAGCTTCTGCTTTTAGATGATTCTCCTCTACCAATCTTCTCCTACTTCCCAGCTCCATAATTGGAGTATTATTTGCCTGCAATACTTCCTTGAACTTTTCAATCCAAGATTGATATGAATTCTCATCTTCAACAGGATCATTATCAACGGGATCTGAAATTCCCTCAGTGATAGAACAACTGCCATTGACTATGTCCATACAATTCATCTCAAACTTCTTGTCAAACTTGTCCAATTGTTGCTGCTTGCGGAATGAAATTACTTTTTCAGCCATTGCAGTTAACTCACTCATATCCACCTTATCAGAGTTTTCTTTACTCATGTCCATAGGATCTAGCATCTGTAAGCCAAGTACAATGGATCGCAAATCACCAGCTTCCACTCCTTCCGTCTCTTTCTCACCCCTATCTATAGTATCCTCTCCTATAATATTGTGGCTCAGCCGTAGCTTTCGATATGCCCTTCGCATAATGACCTGCACAGATTGATATTCAACTGTAAACCCAACAGATAAAACATGGAAGTAGATTATCATATCACATACCTCCTCCACTGTCCTCCTGGTAACTAAGTGAATGGATAAAACATCCTTCATTTGACCAATCCGGTGAGCACGCTGCAGAGCCTGCTTGTCCACCTGGGGATTCCAATCCTGTTCATAAAAAATAACCTGCACCCTATGCACTTGTAAGAGAATTGATACTTGAAAGAAATCTATACCCATGACAGGGCCACATGGTGACAGGGATAACAACATAAGCAATCTCAGTCTGCAGCACCAGTATAAAAAAATAAAAATAAAAAAGCCGATTCGCAGTTGTGAGGAATTTCAGAAAGGACAATTATTTGATATTAATTACACTAGTGTCAAGCAATCAAATTCTCCATTTTTCTGATTTAAATGCTACATCATTCATAATAGATACGTATTAATTATCGGTCTCAATCCTAATATCTCAACTATGCACCAAGCAGCTCAGGGGTTTTATCATCATCTCTTTAAAACAGAAAATACAGCCCACTTCAATATGACCATGATAGGAAACCTAGAAGTTGGATAACTTTATTTTAAAAATAACTTGTCCCAGTCTATGGATGTTAAGCATGGTAAAATGGACAAGTACTCAAATGGTAATTGTTATATCATGGATTAAATTCCTAGAAGATCACACACAACTTCCATGAAACCAGCATGATACAAGAGCCTTGTGCAATAGGTTCAGTTTTACAACTTTTGCGACTGGCAATCATGGAAGTTCTTTGGAGGAAAAAAAATAGTTTACTTAAGTGCACTTCTGAAGTTTGATATTTTCTTCACAGGTCTCATAGTTCAGATTTAAATTTGCCAATCCCCATATAACTCAGTTGTGCCATACTCACTGTATCAGCAGCCACGAGATTCAATCCAACCCCTCCAGCTCTTGTTGAAATCATAAAGACAAATGCTCCCTGCTGATCAGCTTCTGAATCTGAGCTTCCTTTGGCTGATGTCTGGCCAAAACTTCTTATTGCAGCAAATCGTTCCTCTGCCCGAATTGAACCATCAAGACGCTCATATGAATATTTTCTCAGTTCCAGAAAATCCTGCATAAGAAAATAGTATACAAGATTTTGAACAGAAATGCACTCAACCCTTAATCAGAACCAGTATCAAATATACCTGGAGTATATCAAGAGTTTGGGTCATCTGAGCAAAAAGAAGAACACGATGTCCAGAAGCATGCAACTTCTGGAGTAGATGATCCAAAACTAGAAGCTTGCCGCTGCCCTGCCCGAATGAATTATCAAATATATCAATGACCACAAGATGGTGAAAGCACAAGACTAAATGAGGGAAAATGTAAAAGATCTCTAAAAAATGATAATAGTCTTCTGTATGTTGATGCAGGATAATATTCTTTTATAAGTTCAATTCAGGATAAGAATATAAGATGAATATCAGAACTCAGGCCCATATCTCCATTCCAGTTCAAAGAATAAACTTTTAATAGTCTTACTACAAGCAAAGTGAAGATAACCTTACCTGAACCAGGTGCTCACCCTCTTCATATGGTTCAGGCTCAATACCGGGAAAAAGGTAAGGGTGACTGCATGCTTTTCTTAGCTGTATTACCTGGAAGAGAAGCAGATCACAGTTTCATAATGAAAGCATGAATATATTTTGATAATATAAGAACCCTCAAAAAGAGTTACTTAAATAGTAAAATGCATGACAAAAGTTCTTCCTAAAGAAGAATAACATTACTGTAAGCATCCCAATCTCAAAAGTGCAAACCAGCATGAAAACTTTTTTATGTTATTTTGCTTCTTTAAATTCTAAAAGAAGTCCTATACTTTCTAAAGCACTGGGTCCAACAATGGATGTAATTAAAACAAAAATTATTCTCTGAAACAATTTTGTGGACTAGAGAGGAGACTAAACTAAAATTATTAGCTTACAATATTCTGTAATGACCTAGTTGAGCCTCCAGAAGAAAGAGCTAGTAACTGGGGTAATTCCTTCCTCAATATTGACATATATACCTTCTTCTGCAGTGCCACCAAAGGTGCCATCCTATCAATGAAATTTTTAGAAGCATGCAAAATATAGCAACAACATTACAGTGGCTAGCAAAAATAAGAATACATTGATTTCCATCATTTGAGTAACTGGTGGTAACCAGAATAAAAGCTAAAATAAGGTATTGCAAACTATACTGAGGAACTTACACTGTTATCTCAGTAAGAGATGGCAGTACAAGAGTTCCAGATTCAATCAGTTGATTTTTAGTTCTTCTAAGCATAAAGGCCCCAAGTATATATTTCAAAATTTTGAGTTGTCCCTTGGCTTTTTCTGCATTATAGCCTATCAGATTAATCATAACTGGAGTAAGAACAGAATGATGACATGATTGTTGCCAATGGCAATCAATGATTTGGAAAGACATAAAATGAGTAAGAATGATATACCTTAGCAAGCATAAAATTGATTCACAGAAAAAGAAATAGTAATACGTCATGACTCATAAGTATTGGTTACTTATCTCACCTCATAGCCAGTACATTTTGTCATACTATTTGTATGAGAATCATGCATCAAAATACTCATGTACAGCAGAACATTTTTCATTAATGTAGTTTTACATGCATATGTATTTGTGTGGGACACACAAATTTCCTTTCCGCTACAATATAGCGGTTGGTGTAGATGATTCGAGTGTGCGCATACATACATATATATAATGTAGAGTGCCCTTAGCAATCTGCCTCCTTGTTGAACAATTGTCAAGGCAACTTGTGACACAAAATGACATTCATGCCACAAGTGCTTATGTCTATGATTATATGAAAATGAAGAGATAGGGAAAACAGCATTTTCAATGGTGGAGAAAAGAAGGAAAAATAACAATGGAAGAATATACACAAACAAATTATGCCAAGAAATCCATGTGAGGTTATGCAGACATCCTAGGATTCAATATTCATAGACTACTGTAGAAATAAATATGTGAGCCCAGTAAGAACTAAGGTTGTGAAGAAAGTAGGAGTAAATGCTTATGACGTGGATTCATATCAGATAAAAATGTTTTACATGAAGGATCTCCAGCTTCCTTGAATGCAGAGAGGAACTGCTCTGATGTTCCAAAAATTGAAGGCATACAGAAGTGCATCAATGCCCAAAGTTCAGAAAGATTGTTCTGTATAGGTGTGCCAGTCATCAGTAATTTTCTTGGCATCAAAAACTGCTCTTTGAGGACATTGTACAGGACCTGTTAAAATATTATTTTGCAAAGAAGATATAACTTGCAGCCAAGTAACAAATAATAATAGCAACAACAACAAAATAGTAGTAGTAGTAGTAGTAGTAGTATTTAGCATGTTCTAGTATCTGGCAATGTATAATTTACATTATATATTTAAAATGATGGAACCAAATGCAAATCATTTTAGTCATTGCATCTAAAAATTAATCTGTTAAACCAAAAACAAGAGCAAGGGGTTGGGGAATTCACATCTGCCCCATAGGTATCCACCCTTATCTGACCTGCACAGGACGGGTTTGGATGTAAAAAATTCACCCGCAGTGGGTGATGAATCTAATTCAAATTTTAAGATTGTACTCACCAGTCCACTTGACCCACCATATATTTTTAATATACTAATTATAAGTAACATTTGTGTGTGTGTAACTGTGTACACATACAATAGTCATGTTAATTTTAATATTAAGGTAATAATATGTGATATATTGATAATATTTTTAAATACAAAATTTATATATAAAATTGAAAATTTATATAGTATAATTTTGTTATTTTAACAAAATTTGTGAATATAGAGTTATTCAAATTTTTAGAATATTACAAGTAATTTTGTTAATTATATTGAAATAAAAATTTTATAAAATTTGACATATAACAAGTAATTATAATTAATTTATTATTTAAAAATGTACTATCTTGAAGTGGATACCCGTAGTGGGTCAGATGTTTATGTTTTAAAATTCCTCCCTAGGTGTGATGAGAGTTGGGCAGTAGATATAAGGTCCTCCAATCCAAATTCACTCCATGCTATCCCTACTGGGTAAGATTCTCTCAACAAGAACAGCCCATAATGCATAAGGGATTAAGGGTATTGCACAATCACATAGATGCTGACTCAAATGTGGTGTGCTAAATTAGGAAATGTTGACATCTCATGACCAGTCATACAGACCCTAAATAACATATGAAATGCTAAGAAAGTAGCTAAAAACTTAGAACATACACTGCTCGTATTCTTCAATCTTTGTGCTTCATCAATTATTACATAATGCCATGGAACTTGGGAAAGAAATTCTTGATCAATCAATGCAATCTCATAAGTTGTTAATAGAACATCAAATGGTAATGATGGCATCTGTAAGACCTGTGGTAAGCAGCAAAAAGGATCACCACATAACAAGTAACACAAAGAAAGGTAATGATGGCATCTGTAAGATCTGTGGTTAACAGGTAAAAATCACAGCATAACACGCAACACAGTAACAGATTAAACTAGTGAAAAGCAAAACCAATCACACTAGTACCACATCTTACATCAGGCAGTGACTCCTTGGAAGCATGCTCATACATTTTCCTACGCAGACTGCGGCGATGCTCTTTCTCCCCAACATAGTGGGTTACTTTCAGCTTTGGAGCAAAGTTAGCTAACTCACACTTCCAACCATCAGTCACACTAAGTGGGCATAGTATTACTGCAACACTTTCAAACATACACTAATCATCCAAAAAAAATGGCTGCTCCAAGCTCAATGCTTACAAGCTGATTAAAAATAAAAATAAATAAGGTGGTTCTCTACTCACAAAACGGCCCATTAGACTTCTGTGAAACCTTTAAGTAGCTCAAGAGCGATATTGCTTGCAGTGTCTTTCCCAATCCCATCTGCCAATTAACAATTCATACCAAAAACAAGGATACATATAACATGTGTGTAAATATACTGAGAGGACAAATAATTATGCATTAAATTCAAATTCAAACCACATATTTCTGCAATTTTCAAGCATTCTCATTGCAAACAGATAAACTATCGTCAGTTTAAGAAAATCGATGACGAGACTCAATCATCGACGGCCATACCTCATCCCCTGCAGATAGATAAACAATAAATAGTCATAAATTAGTTTCAGAAAATTAAGCTTGTGAAAGTAAATTTCAGTTTTCCAGTTTCTCCCACTTACCGAGAATGACATTGACGCCGAGACGATATCTTCGGATGAGCCATGAGACTCCTTCAACTTGGTGCGGCTTGAGCGTCGCTTTGAGTCCCAAGTCGGCGGAGCTAAGCGGAGCGTCTACGGCGGTTGAGTCATCGCCGTGTATGTACTTCGCCGCCGCTATGAGTCGCTGCTCGTAATTCATGCCGGCCGGTAGCTCTGAGTGGACTAGCCGGTTGAGACGCAAACACCGACTGAATATAATTTTTACGTTTCCGGCACCGATTTGAGTAACGTGGCAGTTTCAGGAGTCGGGCTGAGTTGAGTCAAGCAAAATGACGGGGGCAAATTGAAAATAAATTTTTTTTAAAAATAACTAAATATCTATATTTTCGTAACTTTTTCATATGAGATGTCACAAGTTTAAAATTAAGTATATTAAAAATTCAAAGTATAATGACTGAAGACAAGTATACTCATATTATGCATAACTCTTATTACATGTTTAAATTTGTGTGACGAAAATAAATCTAAATTCAAATTATAATTTATTTTTTTTATCAATCAAAACATGGTACGTCAATTTAAGCTATCATGTTCTATATAATATAAGTATTAATATTTAATATATGAATGATCAATTAAATCTGTCAATTAAAGCAAGATACATTGATATCAACAACCCAAAATAAATAATACATCTTCAATTTGTAACTCTATTTTTCTGAAAAGTGGAAATATTTTTTTGGGGCCATTACTTTATGTTAGCAATATGTTCCAACCAAAACCATAGGTTGGTTTATTGCTGATTAGGTCTCAATGCAAGATTTATGTGCACAATATTACAAGTGTGAGTTATGATAGATGTATTGGCTGGCATGTAAACTATGAGCAACATATATGTTTATCTTATTGTAATCATTTGTCGGTCTATATTTACATAGTATATACTCTCAAGTAGTAAATGCTTGTATGGAATATTCTCTGGATGTATCGTCTCATTACATTTCATATATTAGCTCAGTATCCTATCGTCTCATTGTGGAGAATAATTTCTGAGCATCATCGACCTCATAACATACCGACACGGCTTTAAATAAAACATGATGAGTAGGGTAGGGTATATACTGTACCTACCCGCCTTTCAGACTCACCCCGATCATTTTAGGTTGGGAAATGTCACCCGACCCTCTCTATCGAGGCCTTAGCGATGTTCCTCAGCCCGAACCCAGTGGCCGCAAGAACGGGAGGTCAGGAATCCTATAACACGTGGAGGAATCAGTATCACTTCGGGCCTGCCTGTGTGCATATGCCCTACGTGTCACGTATGCCGGGAGACAAGCATGTGTTCCCATTCACCCCTATAAAAACAACATTAGATGCTTAATTGTAAGGAGATTTTTTGGACATTTTCCATCAACCACAATACGTCTCAGAATCATATGACCTTACGTCATCTCTCGAGTTCAGGACTTAAATCAATAAACAGACTAGAAAAGGGACCTATATTTGGTCTGACTTCAGAGTATTCGTGAAAAACATCGTATTTACTACATCAAATGCAAATTTTTCTTGTCACACACACAAAAAAAAAAGTTTGAAAAGAAAAATTAATGGACCCTCACCTCGCATTATAAACGGGTAAAGGAAATAAATTACGGACATCAATTAGTCTACAAGCTCAAAACTACTTGTATTCAAACACTATATTTCATGAGTATTAGCAAAACAAAATCCACAAAATCTTTCAACTTATTTTGAGTTGTGGATAGTTTATGCTATATGATTTATGAATAGTTAATTACAAAAATGAGAAAAAAAGTTGTATAACAAAGTTGTGGGTAAAACAAAAATATTAACAAAAAGTTTGGGGGGCAAAACCTCACTATGTATAAACAGTTTAAGTTGGAAAAGACGGTACATTTCTGCTTCCCGCAGAGTGGAGATTTTCCGCGGAATCACAGGGGTTTTACCAAAAACCCTAAACCCCAACAATGGCGCAGTCCACTCGCTCCTCTGCTACACGGCTGCTCTACACAATCTGCTCCTCCTCAAAAGCAGCTCTGTTGAAGCCTCAATGCCCGGCCCCAACTCCTATTGCGGCTCTTCTTGCCGGGAACTTCCAGCTCCGCCACTTCTCTGCTGGCAGTGCTGCCGCCACCCGACTGAAGGAGGAGAAGGAGGCTGTGTGGAGAGAGTCACTGGAGAGGGTTCGGAACATTGGTATTTCGGCACATATTGACTCCGGGAAGACCACGTTGACGGAGCGGATACTTTATTACACGGGTCGGATCCACGAGATTCATGAGGTCAGAGGCAAAGATGGAGTTGGAGCTAAGATGGATTCAATGGATTTGGAGAGGGAAAAAGGGATTACGATTCAGTCTGCGGCCACTTACTGTTCTTGGAAAGACTACCAGGTGACGAAGTTTACATATAGTTTGTTTCATCATTTCGGTATTTTTGCTTCACATAAAGTCGTTTTTAATTTCACCCAACTTTTAATTTGCTTGAGGTCTTCAGATAACTGGAAGATCTTTTGATTTCCTATAGATAATCTTCTGGTCATTGTCTCAATGAGGTTTTGTTAACACGGCTATATTCTAGTAGTAGTAATTTGCTTGTTAAGATCCATGGTAACTGGAAAATGTGACTTTGAGTGAGAGGGACATCTACTGGACTGTTGTTGTTATGTTGTGGTATTTTGCTTATAGACTTGTCTGGTACCATTGCAGGTGAACATAATTGACACTCCAGGTCACGTTGATTTCACCATTGAAGTTGAGAGGGCGTTGCGTGTTCTTGATGGTGCAGTTCTTGTACTCTGTAGTGTTGGTGGTGTGCAGAGTCAGTCAATCACTGTTGATCGGCAAATGAGAAGATATGAAGTTCCAAGACTTGCTTTTATCAATAAACTTGATCGAATGGGGGCAGACCCATGGAAAGTTCTAAATCAGGTTGGTTAATGGTTATGCCACTGTTTAAGTGTTCTTTTGGAAATTTTGTTTCACTCATAATTCTTACATCTTTGTCTTGCATTGTAGCTGAGGAAAACCAATCTGTTTTCCCATGGTAGTGATTCTAAGAGTTAACATTGGAGAACCCATTTGCATAGAAACTAAGATGTACAAAAGTACAAAATAATTACTGTATAATTTTGTTGCATGAGGGGTGGGCTTTTGTTGTGGTCAATTGCTCATCATCTTTTGATGGCTATGTCATGGATTCAGGCCCTAGAAACAACTTCTGTAAATAGAGGTAAAATTATGCACATCTTCCTTCCTGCATGTGGGAAATTTTCCTCTAGGTTCAACCTTTTAAGGAAATACACTTCCAACATTATAGTATGTAATATTTTAATGGAATGGCAAAGCAAAAATTTCTATAGAGGACCACAATGGGAGTGGATGGATCCGTCTACATGCCATTATGCATACAAACAACACTTGGTAAACATTAGGAATTTAGACACCAGAAATATCAATATCCATGTTCATATGTATTTAATTGAATCTGAATCCTCATTGTAGAAAGCTTTCTGTTTGCTTTCACTTGGATTCTTTCTCGCAATCCTCACTATACTTTTGAAGTGTAAAACCTTTTTGTTGGCGTCCTAATGACTCGTTAAACTTTGCATACCATATAGGCAAGGTCCAAGCTTCGGCACCATGCTGCTGCAGTGCAAGTTCCAATTGGGCTAGAAGATGACTTCAAGGGTCTTATTGACCTTGTGCATATGAAAGCTTACCACTTCCATGGTTCCAGTGGGTCTGTCTCAATTCTCAGCCTATTGACTATGCTTTTCTCAATAAGAGAAATGTTCCTTTTTGCATTATTATTCTTCTTCACTTGTATTTGTTACCTTTTCAGTGAGAAAGTTGTCACAGAAGATATTCCTGCAGATATGGAAGCATTTGTTGCAGACAAGAGGCGTGAGCTTATTGAAGCAGTGTCTGAGGTTGATGAAAAACTTGCTGAATCATTTTTGAGTGATGAACCTATATCAAATGATGATCTAGAGGTATGCAGACGATAATCATTCTTTCTTTATAAAAACGTTAACATCATTTAGTGTTATCCTTTGAGCCATTAGCTGTTCCTCTGGAGCATTGTTTGACATTCTAAATGATCTCTCTAAAATGATGTTTTACTGATCTGCACTTATTTTTCAAACTGTCATTGCACTTTATTGTCATTCTTATTGACATAGTTTTTGTCCCTTAAAGAAAAGGAAGAAACAGAAACACTCCAGTGAATTCTAAACAGGAAAATAGTCTTTCACATATTTTTGTCTTAAAACTATTTGATTTGATGCTCATTTCACTTGTTGGTTGTCAATTAAATTATTTTCTTCTTATATTGTTAACCTCATTACTCATATTCTTGTTGTCATCATTTTTACTTTGTTGGTTTACTTTCTTGTGTACAATGCTCTGCTTAGTTTGACATACACTATTTCTTGAATAGTCTTCCTCTTCTATGTTCAGGAGGCAATACGAAGAGCAACGGTAGCACGTGAATTTGTGCCCGTATTTATGGGTAGTGCATTCAAGAACAAGGTTAGCATTTATTTGGTTCCTCTTGTTCTGTGTTTGATTTCTTTTCTATTCAATGGTTGCCATCTACTATGGTATGTGCCAGTGTTATAACTTTAATCCAAGCAACAAGTGCTCCTCATATCCTTGTGCTTTATTACTCCGGTAGCAATTGTCACTATCCTGGTTCTGCATCAGTGCCATGATTTGGCCCAAATGGCTGACAAATTCAGAAATAAAATTTGGAATGACTTGTATTCTTAATTCTTCGGCAGTCCTTGGCAATGCTCTCTTCTGTATGAATTATTTTTAGAGGGGTGTATACTGCTTCTCACAGGGTTTCTTTTATGACTAGCTGCCAACATTTTTTAGAAGTCTAATTTGGTGATATGCATTTATTCTGGATGAAGTGATTTTTAAACAAATACATTTCATAGCTTTCAGCATTTCACCTTTATATTTTTAGTTGGAATTTAATCTTCAACTCTAGGGTGTTTCTGATATCATGTTGTAATTGATATTCTGTTTGCTGCTTACCAGGGCGTTCAACCTCTTCTTGATGGTGTTCTTAATTATCTCCCTTGTCCAATTGAAGTCAATAACTATGCTCTTGATCAAAACAATAGTGAAGAGAAGGTAACTTAAACTGTTACTTCATTGATTTCTTTTGTCTGTCATTTTTTAAAAATTAATTCAATCTAGGAACTGACTTCTCTTCGGATTAACTGTTGGCAGGTTATGTTAACAGGAAGTCCAACAGGCCCTTTGGTTGCCTTGGCTTTCAAATTGGAAGAAGGTCGGTTTGGTCAGTTAACATATTTAAGGTATGTGACATTTAGTGCATTAAATATATAGTTTTGCAATCATCTAGTTTGTGCAGTATAGTGTCACCACTCCCTGATGACTGAGCAAGTTACATGTCATTTTCTCATGAAGAATTTACGAAGGTGTCATTAGAAAGGGTGATTTCATGATCAATGTGAATACAGGCAAGAAGATCAAGGTGAGTCCAGAAAACATCATAACATTATGATATTCTATTGAATATTGACAAAATCCTCAATTTTGCTCTATTTCATGGGTTATGCTGTTGAGATTTCAGTTTCTAGATTTCCAGCTGAGTGCCTGAGTTCTATTACATTTTTTTACAGGTTCCTCGCTTGGTACGGTTGCATTCAAATGAGATGGAGGTTTGTCATTACCTATTTTGTTGAAATTCGTATGATTTCAGATAAAACAGAACATTTTGCTACTGTACTCGTCAATTCAATTCTTCAGTTACACTTCAGGAATATAAAAATATTGAATAGAAATGTTTGTTTCTTGCTTGAAAATTGAGTGCCAGCATCTTATACTCCCATAGTTACATGCAGCTTACCCATTCTTATGCCTTTTATTGCAATTTAGGACATTCAAGAGGCACATGCCGGACAAATAGTTGCTGTATTTGGTGTAGATTGTGCTACAGGTACGTAATCCAATGTGAAACCTTCCTTTTTTGGTACTTTCTCCCCTTGAATTAATAAAGTTGAAGTTTTGCTCAGTAGCCTATTATAGCTCTATTCTTATAATTCTATCTTGTCTAAATTATGATTTGTCATCAGGGGATACTTTTACAGACGGATCAGTTAGGTACACTATGACTTCGATGAATGTACCTGAACCAGTGATGTCATTAGCAGTTTCACCTGTTTCTAAAGATTCTGGGGGACAAGTGAGTGGATACTGTATAAATATGCTTTCTGTTTGAATATGCCCACGTTTACTCGTAGTACTGCTTAGTAGTCGAAGAATACTGATGTTGTACACTTAATTGACAGTTCTCAAAAGCTTTGAATCGCTTCCAGAGAGAGGACCCAACATTCCGAGTAGGTTTAGATCCTGAGAGTGGCCAGGTAAGTATTTTTGTGCACATTTTACCATGTCCGAATTAAAACTTATTTTTTTTGAGGGAAAATGCATTGTTTTTAACATCTCAATGGTTTCATCATCAGACAATTATCTCTGGAATGGGTGAGCTGCATTTGGATATATATGTTGAGCGAATCCGAAGAGAATACAAGGTTCACATTCAAGCATGTGATAGTTGGTGCTGACCCTATTCTTTCAAATCACTATAATAATTTTGTGTTGTTTGCGCTTGTTAAAGGTTGAAGCAACAGTAGGAAAGCCTCGAGTGAACTTCAGAGAGACTATCACTCAACGTGCTGACTTCGATTATTTACACAAGAAACAAAGTGGTGGACAGGGTCAATATGGTAGGGTAACTGGGTAAGTATTGATTTTTTGGGTTCATTTCGTAAAGTATTGGCAACTTCAGATTTTATCTTCACTTCCCAAGAGTTTATGAAAGTAATGGGGCATTCTTTGCATTGTTGTTATCTTGATTTTTTTTTTCAATATACAGGTATGTGGAGTCGCTTGAACCTGGGTCCTCAACAAAATTTGAATTCGATAACATCATTGTAGGACAGGCTATACCATCAAACTTTATCCCAGCAATTGAGAAGGGCTTTAAGGAGGCTGCTAACTCGTAAGTTATTCTGCCATGAGTTGTATGCATTTCCACTGGGATAACCCTGATTGCACTATATTAATCATACATGGAAATTTTGGTAGAGGGATTAAGATTGCGTAAGTCATTCATGGTGTATTGTAGTGACTGCAATTTGGCTCTTGTGTCTCAGGGGTTCACTGATTGGCCACCCAGTTGAGAATATTCGTGTTGTTTTGACGGATGGTGCTTCACATGCTGTTGATTCAAGTGAACTTGCATTCAAACTAGCAGCAATCTATGCCTTTAGACAGGTGCTGCATTCATTTTAATGATGATCTGGAGACAGTTGTGCTCTTTTTTCAATACCATTTTTTATGCAATTACTCCTTTGTCCACCTAAAGACACAGAAAATGCAACTATTTCAGTTTTTTCCTTAGATGATACGTAGTATTTGTCTATGCTGGGTACTTCTCCCTAAACAATTCTCATTATGTTTCACCAATTTTCACCTTATATTCCAGTGTTATTCAGCAGCCCGGCCTATCATATTGGAACCTGTGATGCTTGTTGAAATCAAAGTACCAACAGAATTTCAGGGCACGGTTACTGGGGATATTAACAAGTCAGTACCTAAATAGTTACTTCGGGATTATGTTTGTCTGGAAACCAACTATTTAATAATTTTTTTTTTTTTTTTTTTTTTGTGATGCGACAGGAGGAAAGGTGTCATTGTTGGGAATGACCAGGAAGGAGACGACTCTGTCATCACTGCTCATGTATGTACAGATTTCTTAGCTTGTTTTCACATGAATACTGAATCTTGGAGCTTTGTAGAACTTGCAATATCGAGATTCGTATTCCACCTTCACCTGATGCTTGAAACTTAAACCAAATTTCCTCAGTTCAAATCACTCATTCTGGGTTGTGTATTCTTATATTTGCTTCAGGTTCCTCTCAATAATATGTTCGGGTACTCAACTTCTCTTCGGTCAATGACACAGGTGAGAAATCAATCAATGGTTCCATTTTTATTTTCCAAACATACGAGATAAGAAAGAGTGTTAGCATAAAGACATCATTTCATATCAAAATATAAAGCTCGATAAATATTTGAGCGTAATGTGTTGTGTGTAGGGTAAAGGAGAATTCACAATGGAGTACAAAGAACATTCAGCAGTTTCCCACGATGTGCAAACACAACTGGTTAACGCATACAAGGCCACCAAAGGAACCGAATAGATAGAGTGGTTTTCAAGTGCCTACCTTTCATTCTTTGCCAGAACCATATATTGCTCTAGGTGGATTTATAACAATTTAGAGTTTGGGACCGAAATATGGTCTATGAATTTTGATAACATGTCCAAAATATATCCTTCTTTTTATTTATATTATAATGATCATGAATCAAACTTTTAAAGATTCATGTATACAGCAGATGTATGCAGCTACTGTACTATAAACAGGGTGATTCATATAACAAGATAATTCAAAATAAAAACAACTTTGCTAATTGTTCTTATGCTATTTGATGTGTAGATAATTGTCTTTTGTTCTGCTTTTGAATTAGTTAGCATAGCAATGTTCATTCAGTTAATTTAGTTAATAATTGAATTTGTAAATTAACTGACTTTCTAGTCAAAAGAATCAAAATTTATAGATATTATTTGAGAGAAGAGACTAAAGTTCAAATTTCGATTGTGACACTGGGAATTATGCCCAAGGTAGACAGATTTGTTGTGTGCTAAATTATTGAGTTACCGTGATTTACATCCTCCTAAATACTGGTCAGGCTAGAATGTAAGGGGCCCTTGGAATTGGAGATTCAACCTTGAGAAGAACAAAGATGAAAATAGAAAATAAAAAACTTCACACTTCAATATGGTAGCTGGTACCAACTTTTGCCAGTACAGATCAAAGATGAAAATAGGAAATATGAAACTTCACATTTCTATATATATATACTTTTGCCAGTACATACTACAAAGCAAAGATGAAAATGGACAATATAAAGCCTCATATTTCTATATGGAAGCTGGTACCACCAACAGGCAACATGTAAAGATATTATTCCGAGACAGCAATAGAATGATCAATCTGGAGTACAATCGGGGATGCTTTCTCACTTTTCCTCGTTCATTCCTAGCTAAGCGGGAAAAAGAATAACAGCATTTCTACTCGAGGGTCGAGAGGGTAGGGGGGGGGGGGGGGGGGGGGGACATGCGTTTTGCCTAGATTAAGGAAACGGTTCACGTTGTTGTGTGGGTAGATCCAGGTCAGGTTCAGATACCGAGAGTGGAGAAAAATACTGTTCTACCATATCATTCGATACACGATCTAAGCTCGGAGGGTCCCACTGCATGGTTTTGAAAGGCTTAGTGATTTCCAGTAAGAAATTGGGCAATGATAAAAGCATCCAAGAAATGTGATTTACCTTAGGTGTAAGATCTTTATCCACCAATCGTGCCCGAACACCCTGATAAGAAGGCAGAAATATCACTTTTAGGGACGCAAATATCAATGGAATTTCACCGAGGGAACCACATATGTTTTAGTACTTATTATACCTCTCGGAAATCATTCGTAATTTGTCCCGAGATCGCTTGTACTGTCATGCGATACTCACGAGCTAGGCACTGGTCAAAAGTTTGAAATCTACCTTCGCGTATCTGGTAGGACGCATGTACTTGAGATACATACAAATAGTGTATCTACCAAAAACGAGAGATATAAAGACTTACAGATCTCAAAGCGACTTTCAAACTCAATGGCGAGGCTTCTTTCAGTTTCTTTAACGTTGAAATACACCACTCATCGTTCGTCCCGCCTGCCTCTCTTTCCTAAAAATAATCGACTGCATTTAAGTATCGCTTTAAGATTTCTCGATAGTGCAGAAGAAAAAAAAAAACGGGCCTTTAACTCACCAAAGCATCAACAATTTCCTCTACAGTGTCATGGCTGAAACATTTATCAACGGTTCTGATCCTAATCAAACGAGAGAATTAGCATAATAAGCACAACGTTATCATTCTAAAGTGAGGACCTAGTAGTACGAGGGAAAAAACTTCGAGTCTTCTTTGAACGCTTCTAAAATGCTGGACCATTTTGCCCCTCCCCGCCAGGCCATTATTACGAAACAATTCCCGGAAAAACAAGGAAAAGAAATACCTGTGCATTACGCTTGTTTGATGAGGATGGGCAATATCTGCGAATCTTGCCAAGGAATTTCCAATTACAGTAGGATCATCGGTCTCTAAATTTCCAAGATGTTCCTCGATTAAATGCAGTTTCTGAAATCGGGAAGAGGAAAATTTGGCAAATTGAATACGTTAAATAACCAAGAAAGTAACGGGTAATGCAAAATAGTGAAAATTTAAACAAAACTGACTTCAACGACGGTGTAGTGGGTTGCAAGCCCACACGCCATCATTTCGACTCCACTGAGCTTGTCTCCAGTTAAGCCCAGGTATTCTCCTGCAAATATTGTCATGTCGGTACTGAAAAAGATTGCATTTTTATTCAAGAAATCCAAAACATAAACAACACAAACCGAATTATAATGGCCACGGGAATTACCTAAATAACCGGGGAGGTGTGATAGGTGAAAGGAGGCCCCGGCATCTGGGTGAAAACCAATTAAAGTCTCGGGAGTGGCAAAAACCTGAGATATTAGGATTCTTGTGTCACGTTCTCCGGAGTGGCAAAAACCAATTACTCGATGTATGTAAAGGAAAAGACTCAATCTATCAGTTCCATACAGTTTTATCCGTCGCTACCCGGAATGTTCCCGGGACTGAAACACCGGCCCCACCACCCATGGTAATTCCGTTCAGAAGAGCCACCTGCACAAGTAACAATCCCCACTAGTATTATCATACGATATACTGATAAAGTGATAATCGAGCTTCATGCCAAGAAACGCCTGCTCCAAGGAAATGACAGTTCACAAGAATTGGAATTAATGCACCAAATAAAAAAAGTGAAGAGCACAGTTCAATAACAGAGTTTAGCTAAATCACGTCTACTCCAGATTACGAACATATTACCATATTACAGACGAATCATACTTACATGTGGTTTCAAGTATGTGCCAAGAATGTACATAAATTTATACGCTGAACTAAAGAATTCTTTAGTCTCTTCAAGGTTTCCTATAACAATCCAATAGAAATAATGTAATATATGTATCTGTCAAAAAGACTTAGAACAACAGAAATAAAAACTGTACCTTGTTTTAACATATTATAAATTGCAACTATATCACCTCCAGCACAAAAGGCCCTGCCTTTCCCCTTCAAATGTTTCAAGAACACTCATAATACTCAATAGGCATAGCAATAAGCAAGCAAAACGAATCAATAGATAAAATTGAGAGCAACCCAGCCAAATTGGTCAAGCTATTAGACTCGGGCCAAATTTGTCAAGCTATTAGACTCGGGCCAAATTTGTCAAGCTATTAGACTCGGTAACCACAACGTTACAAGTTCTACTCCCAGTAGGAGTGACCTATTGGCCTTGCCGGCCAGTATGGGCAACCTAGACTGTTTTACCTCATTGTGTTCTAACTTCTAAGGTCACCTCATTGTGTTCTAACTTCTAAGGTCACAAGGATGGGTTTACCCGAAGCACACCCTCGGGTTTGCCACTCAAAAAAATCAATAGATGAAACTTCATTGATCTTAGGCCACAATTCATACAGGCAATTCATCAAACATGATCAATACCTTCAATACCACAAACCCAATATCAGGGCTTTCTTCCCAGCTTGTGTAAAGCTTCTGCAACCTTTCAGTCTACACAGAAATTACCAATTTTTAGAACAAACCCAACAATCAAAACCTCATTTTTAGCCAGATAATTAGAGTTAGCGAGCAGACCAGGGCAGCGTTTAGAGCATTCAACACACTGGGTCTGTTCAGAATCGCAGTTCTTGAACAAGCTTTCCCCTCAACCAGCACCTGAAATCAACACGATAAGCACCCAGTACACCAACCCACACAATCACAGAGAGGGAGAAGAAAAACTAACAACGTCTTGGGGATCATCAACGAGGAGATGATTAGGGAGATTGAGGGTTCTTGTTTGCTGAGAAGAAATGACGCCATGGCCGCGCAGGAAACGCCCCACAATCGCTGCAGATTTTAAGCGCTGCATTTTTCCGTTTCCCTCTCTGCTTATTCCGCCCTGTAAATAAAACTGCTAAACACTTTATATAATATCCCACACTCAATCGCCACTCCACAGTCAAATTACTCAAATCTTGTTCTTCCATAGTGCATGTGCAACGTGTTACAACATATTTATATTTTCTAAAGTTTTCATTGAAAATTTATTTCTACAAAAGTTTAAAATAAAATTACCACAATGCAATATGCGATTTATAATACAATGTATTCATTTTCAAAAAAGAAAAAAGAAAAAAATACAATGTATTCACATTGAGACTTTAACTATAAAGTAAAATGATATTATCATTTTTTTTTTAAAGTAGAATACATTTAATTGTCAAAAAATTATTACTACATTTAATTAGTCTAAATAAAGAATAAATTCAGACAATTTAACATAAAAAGAAGTAAAAATATCCAAATTCTGAAAATCAACTACTAAATACTAGTAATCTACTAAATTTGTGTAATATCCAAATTATTACACAACTTATACTTAGAGATATCAAGTGAGTTAAATCGTGTGAAAACACTCTAACCTAGTAACCTATTCCGCCCAAGAGCAAAAAAAAAAAAAAAAAAAAAAAAAAAAAAGATTTAGGCTCTGTTTGGTAACATAGTTAGTTTATCATTTAATTTTAGCTTATTTGACCACTATTAGCTGTTTGACTTTATTAAACAATCAATATGAGTGTTTGATTAATTAGATTTTTGTAACAGCTTATTGCTCCAAAATGTTAAAATTAAAAAAATTGTTCAAAGCAGTTTTTTCGATTAGCTTTTTGATAAAGTAATTTTGCATTTACTGAACTATCAGCTAACAACTATTTTTCCAAATACTTTTATACAATTAGTGAATGCTATCAACTAGTCAAACTCACTTACGCAATCAACTAACAACTATCAGCTAACAAATTCAATAACGCAATCAAATAACCCGATGCAGCACACTCTTACCTATACTTGATATATTTAAATGTGAATTGATTTTTTTGGTAAGTAATCTTAATTTAAAAAAAAAAAAAAATACACCGAAAACCTATAATAATATTAAAACGAGCAAAACGTTGTTATTTATTTATTTTTGTCTCCGTACAACAGTTGTATTTTTATTTTATTTTCGTTTACTTTTTGGGAAGGGTTAAGGTCATGTGAGTCTTGCTTGCTCTCATGTCAAACAAATCTAAAAATCAGTAGAAAATTATATAATTTTGTATTTTTTTTTATAACCATAGAAATTTGCAATCACTAATGATGAATATATTAGAGATGAGTATGGAGAAACCGATAAGATAAGACGGACCAAAGCGGGTCCAATTGACCTCGAAGCCCCAAAGCCGAGCCCAACGCTTGACCTCAGGCACCAAGGGCAAATTATACTGTGGAATCGTGTCCACCTTGCAAGGTGGACACAATTTCAAAACGGTTCATAATTATGAATATATAGTTCAAAAATTATGAACATATAGTTCTATAATTCTGAACATAATTATGAACATATAGTTTTGTAATTATGATATACAAATTAAATAATTGTGAATATGAAGTTCAAAAATTATGAATATATAGCTTTATAATTATGAACATATAGTTCAGTAATTATGAACATAGAGTTCTGTAATTGTGAATATAAAGTTCAACAATTATGAATATGAAATTCAAATTTAGATAACATACAGGATAATAATGACTGTCATCAATGTAACGTAAAGCTACGACTAAACTAACCCCACACAACGTAGGGAATGTTGCAAGCTAATTAATGATAATGGATAAGGTTCTTTTCTTTGGAAAGAATATATGTTATGCTGATTCATAGCTTATGGGTTTTGTCTTTGGTTTCCTGTTTGCATGGATTTCTCATTATGCTTCAATTCTTCCTGCTTTCGAGTTTGCTTATATATATTTACGATGTTGTCGTGTTGTTGTGGTTTAAACTGTAGAGATTTCTTTCTTACATTTCTGCCGGCATTTCAGCGTTTGTTGTTTTTTTTTCTTGGTTTTGGGTGGGAATTGAATGGAATATTTTGAGCCAATTGAGAAGCCACTGGTTTTGCTGGGCTGTGCATATTTGTCATGGAAGATCATCAGACATATTTGGGGTGTCTTGAAAACGTTTGAGAAAGAACCTGTCACTGTTCTTGTTACTGGTGCTGCAGGCATGCATGCATAACCCTTTCCCATTCATTAATTTTCGCGAATGTCGGGTTTCCTATTAGGGAGTTTGGCTGTCACTCGAAGTGCAACCATACAGAGTTTCGGGATATATGGTTGCTAACTGTTGGGCAGAGGCCCGTGAAAGGTCAAGTCCATCACCTGGTGACTAGGGGAATTGTTCAGCACCCTGTCTCTAAAAAATGTGGCTGTATAAGAAAATAAAGTTAGGGTTATCCCTTTGTTCTGAATTATAACTTTTGGCATAGTGATAAACTCTTAATCTTAATAGGTCAAATTGGGTATGCTCTTGTGCCAATGATTGCCAGAGGAGCCATGCTAGGGGATGATCAGCCTGTGATTATACACATGCTTGATGTGAACTCTGAGTCCTTGAATGCAGTCAAAATGGAGCTGATTGATTCAGCTTTCCCCCTTCTCAGAGGTTAGTCCTAGCTACCTCGTACCTATCACCATCTTCTATCTTTCGTTTGACTCACCTGACCTATCTACCTGCATTATGGCCCGGTTTTATTCATGGACTCAACCCCGTCCCGCCAAATCTTGTACATGGCTCGACCAACAGGCGTGGTGGCAACCACAGACGTCTCCGAGGCCTGCCAAGGCGTTAGCATCGCGATCATGGCGGGTGGGATCCCGAGAAGAGAAGGTATGGAAAGGAAAGATGTCATGTCCAAAAATGTCTCCATTTACAAGTCCCAAGCCTCAGCCTTGCAACAACATGCTGCTCCTGATTGTAAGGTAAATATATTAATTAATCAAGAATGTCCTGTCTGAAATCTTGATTGTCTCGTCTGGAATTTTGGTTTTAAGGAAAACCATGAAGTTGTTACACAGGTTTTGGTTGTGGCGAATCCAGCAAACACAAATGCACTGATTCTGAGAGAATTTGCCCCTGCAATTTCTGAGAAAAACATCACCTGTCTAACAAGGCTAGACCACAACAGAGCCTTAGCCCAGATTTCAGAGAAGCTGGACATCCATGTAAGTGAGGTAAAGAATGTGATCATATGGGGGAACCATTCTTCAACTCAGTACCCTGATGCGAGCCACGCAACTGCAAAAACTGACCGTGGGGAGAAACGCGTTACAGAGCTTTTTGCAGATGATAATAATAAATGGTAACAGATCAGATAGCCTATATATACTTGCATTCATCAGAAGGCAAAATGCAGATCAAAGTATATATATATTGCTGTTTTAATTTGTCTTATAGGCTGCAGTCGGAGTTCATTGCCATGGTGCAGCAGCGAGGCGCTGAGATCATCAAAGCGCGAAAGCAATCCAGTGCATTGTCTGCTGCAAGCGCGGTTTGTGATCACATACGCGATTGGGTTCTTGGAACTCCAAAGGTAGCTATGAATTTTCTGAGAAGTTGATGTTTAATGTGGCTTTTTTGACAGTCCTAAGTTCATTTCTGTGGTTCTTTAATGTGTTCAGGGAACATGGGTTTCAATGGGAGTATATTCTGATGGTTCTTATGGGATCCCACCTGGTTTAATGTACTCCTTCCCTGTTACTTGCAAGAATGGAGAATGGTCAATTGTGGAGGGTACGTAAATTCTCGCGACCCTTAAATTTACGTACAAACTAATTAATCTAACAATTAATAAGCGAGATGATAATGTGACTGTAAGGCTGGAAGATTGATTGACTCCTGTAATCTGTATTGCAGGTCTCAAGATCGATGGGTTTTCGAGGGAAAAGATGGATGCAAGTGCTAGAGAGTTGATTGAGGAGAAAGTATTGGCCAATTCTTGCCTATAGTGATGATAATGGGATTGTGTAAACACAAAATACACAATTGGAAAAAATGTGGTTGTCACACTCTATAATTGTACTTTGTTATAATTAAGAAATATGTTGATCAAGATTATTTACGAGAATAAGAATTTGGCAATGTGACTATGTTCACGGGGGAAAGCAGGTGTCCGGGTTGCAAACATAAAATCTATATGCAACTCTAAACATGTACATGTACAAAATTATCTCAGTACATATGAGACATACACAACTGAAATTAAAGAATCCATATATGTTCCAATCCAAGGAACATCATTAATGTCCCCGAACCAGCATCATTATTATATTCTTCTCCATTATTATATATATATGAGATGAAATGGGATTGCCTGCCTGATTTGAATCCTGGGCACACACAAACTTTCTTTCCTTTTACATGTATATGTGGTCGGTCTGCAAGAAGACTGCAACACACCACGTTGTTCATACATATTTTGGCTGGGTTTTTGTGCTGATCTGATTAGGTGATTCACATGGCAATGTAATGCAATTTTGTTGAATGATTTGACCTGACAGTGTGGTTTTTGGACCACTGGACTGCAGATATATATGATCCATTTTCTCCCATCTGCGAGCTGAGTGGTTTACTGACGACATGCAGTGCTTCCTCCCCACACACCTCCTTAGCTTGGAGAATTATTGTCTGCTTAATTATATTGCACCCATGTTCATTGATGGTGTCTTTAATTTGCCAGGAATTTTATGTAGTGGATCATGCAATGTACTTTTGGTTCTCATATATAGCAAGTTTATTGTGGCCTAGCTAGCTTGTGGGGTGAACATAATGTGATTAGTCATAGATAGGACAAGAGTTTTTAGATTAGTTATATTCATCGTGTCAATTCTTGTGTTGCTAGAGACATAGACCGATTACAAATAAATAGACAGAGAAAATTTCAATTTTGATCATATGACTATGGAGGCTTTGTTAATTTCAGCACTTCTTTCAAAAGTATCAATTTAGTATCTTGACTATGCAATTTTTATCAGTCAGTTAAAATAATGAGGGTATTTTAGTCATTTCACATCTCTTTCCTTCTTCCCCGGCGAATTCATCTTTTTCGGCGAATCCGAGGATGAGGTGTGATGCGATGCTTTCAACATTATCCAAAAAGAGAAGTATTTATTCAACATTATCCAAAAAGAGAAGTATTTATTCAACATCAATTTTAGAATAACTAGTATTTTCGCCCGTGCGATGCACGGAATGAATTTATTAAAATATTTTAAGAATATTTAGATCGATATATAATTATATAAATTATTACATCGAATATTATATAATGCAACTGAAGAATTGAGTTGGATTGATTGTATTTTCTGATGTTATCATTGCTTGAATTCGTTTAAATAATTGCCCAATTAACAGTTAATGTGTAGATGTACGCATCCAGTGCTGAAACTTTAGAAATTTTAAATATCAGTGTTCTGTGAATTATAACTAGGGATCATATTTAATTTTGAGTAAATTATTAATATTCATTACCTTTTTCAATTGGTCTAATTTGTTTTCCATCTTTAAGCAAAATCTTCCTTACACATTCTATACATAATTACACATCTTTATATATACCCATTGTAATGAGGTCCCATAATTTTGGATATAGATGTGCTACAAAATCAGTCATAATGAATTTCTTTTGAATCATTCATACGAATTGCAAGAACATTTCCATCTTTAATTACACAATTTTCCTCATAAATTGTGGATACTAAACGATTTATTCAATTTTTCATTTGTAAATATATATCGTTACATAACAATATTTCCAGTAACATATATATAAGGATTTTTTGACATACTCGGCTAAACCTTATAATTACACAATCCTTATTTTCTTAGTATAAAATAACATTTGGTGTAAAAACTATTAATTTCAATCTCGATTAATATTCATTCAATTTCGGCTAAACCTTATATTTCTATCTTGTATTGCAAAACATTTTACATCTTTAATTACAAAATTTTCCTTATAAATTGTGGATACTAAATGATTCTATTTCATTTTCCATTTTTAAATATATATCTTTACATAACCATATTTCAGCAACATATATTATATATAGTATTACACTATTTTATACTATTAGAATAGGAATTGTATTCTTCCAATTTATTATAGATAACCATAATTAGAATAGGAATTGTATGCATTCAAAAAAAAGAATAGGAATTGTATTACACTATTTTATATTATCATAATAGGAATTTTATCCTAGAATTATAATATGAATTGAAAAAGTAGAAAACAATATATTTTATTAGAAAGAGAGATTTTTTAGGAATTGGGTGAGAAGTTAAAGTTCAGGATTTTATTTTTATATATAGTATAGATTAGAATAGAGTTTGTATTACACTATTTTATAATATTAGAATATGAATTTTTACCAAGAATTATAGTATGAATAGGAAAGTAAATAACAATATATTTTTATTAGAAAGAGAGATTTTTTAAGAATTGCCAGGCGGGGGGGGGGGGGGGGGGGGGAGTTAAAGTTCAAAATTTTGTTTTTATATATAGTATAGATAGATTACAATAGGAATTGTATTACACTATTATATACGATTAGAATAAGAATTTTATCCTAGAATTATAATACAAATTGGAAAGTAGAAAACAATATATTTTATTAGAAAGAGAGATTTTTTAGAAATTGGGCGGGAAGTTAAAATTCAAGATTTTGTTATTATATATAGTATAGATTATAATAGGAATTGTATTACACAATTTTATAATATTAGAATAGAATTTTAACCCATAATTATAGCACGAATGAGAAAGTATAAATCAATATATTTTATTAGGAAGAGAGATTTTATAGGAATTGGGCAAGAAGTTAAAATTCAGGATTTTGTTTTTATAGATAGTATAGATGTTGATATACTAAAGTTTTAGAATAAATAAGCACCAACATCAATTTTAGCATTTCGCTTTCTTCTTTGAGCAAGTCTTTTTTTGGCCGGAAAAACTTTCAACCAGAATTTTGGCAGGAGGTGCACTGGACGAGCACAAAGAGAAGTGCAATTCGGAGATTTCTAGGTCCGCCGATATCTCAAGCTCCTTACACAAACGGCCATATGTTTTCAACCGGAATTTTGGCCATCTGAACCCTAATAAATCGCTGACGACGGCTTTGACGAATGAGTTTAAGTATGCTTTGGAAGGTGTGCTGCTGCGACGGATTCACCAGAAAAAATGAATTCGAAGAAGAAGAAGAAGAAGAAAGAGATGTGAAATGACTAAAACCCTCATTATTTTAATTGTTAAAATTTTCCGGCGAAAACGTGGTCTTCGAATAGGGTAAACGGCGCGTAATTCATGGGAAGCGCAATATATTTGAAAATTGAGAAACAATATTTATACAACTAATAATTTATGATGATATTAATAATTGACATATTTATGAGGGGTATACATTACACTTTTTCCTTTAGTTATTATAATATGGTGAAAAAAAAAAAAAAAAAAAACAGCTAGTGGGTGGGTGGAGGGGGCCTGCATGCATTGAGACAACATATATAGATAAGAATACATCTAATCTGTTATCATATATATTGAGTGTTGTGGGACTGTTCTCTCATGCATGTTGTTAGTTGTGTTACATACTTACATGTGTTGATGTATCCTAATTTTCTTCTAAGAAATAATGACATTGACAACTCCTCCGTAGCTTGCCCCGCCCTCCATACAGATTAAACTTCTATGCCATTATATTGTCTCTTTAATTTATTTGCCGGAATCTTTGGTCACTTCTTCCATCTTTCACTAAATTGTTTGCCCTCTAGCTGTTCCCCAGACTCACTTTCCATTTTCCTTCATTATATTCTTCATTATATTGCCTTCTGTTGCATGTACATGGCATACCTCGACAAAACAAGTTATAGTTATAGTTAGGAGTCAAGGCGGCTTAATTACAAGCATATTTACTTCAAAGACGACAATTTCTGTATACCTAATGATAAATAGATGAAATTTTAGACATCGATTTCTAGTTCCACTTGGTTCTACTTAGATCCGGTTCCTGGCTCCACCTAACCATCTAGGTCGTCCCGGTTCTTAGCTCCACTCAGATTCACCTAGACCCTGATTCCCGACTCTACTTGGTTCCACCTAGACCTCGGTTCTTGGCTCCACCTAGTTCCACTTAGACCCCGATTCCTACCTCCACTTGGTTCCACCTAGACCTTGGTTCCTGAATCCACTTGGTTTCGGGTTCCACCTAGTCTTCTCAGGGCAACTTGTTAAAGGTGATTGGAAGTTTCAACCACTTCTAAGTAATTGAAAATTTTGAAACTATAAAGAGATAAATTAGCTTGAGTTACTTATAATTGACTGGTTCAAACTGATAAGACTTTTGTGATCCTAGTCCTTAGTTGACAAAAAATTAAAAGGCTTATATTGACAAGCAAGAAACCGGTGATATTTTATTATTATTGTTTTTTAATTTCTACCGGATCGCTGATAAGGTTTTATGATTATTTATAACTTTGGGCTACTATAGGTAGTATAGGGCTGAATTATTGAGTTGGTTCAGTTCTATTTCCAATGTGTTGCAGCCCATCTTATTTTCTCTCATTTTTAATTTAATATTTTCATTATATTTATACACAATTCAAGTAATTTTATTTGATTTTTTTTTTTGTTGAGTACTGTTAACTCTGTTATAATGTATCTGTTTATAGTTACTTTTTATATCGCTTTCACTGAGACTCGAATCCATGACCCTCTATTTGAGAGAACTACTTCATGTCACTGGACCACAAGGTCATTGGCTTATTTAACTAATTTTAGTAAATTATTAAGTAGGTCATGTAGGTTTGATTATAAATATTTCTAACTTTTTTCAGAGGAAGAATTAAATTTTTTGAGTGCAAATCAAATTGAATTTGGATTAATATTACAGTTATGAGGATAACAAGTGATGTATGAAAAAAACATTTATGATTTTGTAAGTCATATTACTTTAATAAATAAATAAATAAATAAATAAATAAAGGACGGGTCAAATAAGCCCTTCAATTTTATATAAAAGTACAATTAGCTCCTCAAATGTTTAAAAAGTGCAATTAAACACTCTAATTAGCTATTTTAATGCATTAAACTCTACAATTTATTAATGACTTGCAATAGCAGATCACTTGCATGTCATTCAAATTCTTAAAACTCCGACAACCGTCACCGGCCGCCGACGTCATCCGAGCA